AAGGAGTTGCTGCACACTGACGTGGGATGGTGAAGAAAGGTCTCCTCTCAGACTCAGGACCGGACACAAATCTGGGTGGGACTGGATGCTATCGCCACCTCCCAGAGAATGGGCATATCAGATAAGACCATTCATAGTGGTGAACACAGCATCCAGGAATGGGATATACCAAAGCTTGCCTTGTCCTTATGGGTGGACCATTGTCCAGTCCAAAGTCCCCTGAGTTGTGTGTACTCTTTGTAGAACCAAAGGCAGTCTCCGCCGAGGTGAAGCTGTCCAACATTAATGGCAGATAAACGGGGACGGAGAGGCCCAGGTGGCGGCTTGACAGGCATCTTCAATCGGAGCCTGCATTGCCCATGCCTCAGTCGTGGCCGCACTCCTGGTAGAGTAGGTGATAATAAATCTTGGCATTGGTAATGCCGGTGATTCATAGGCTTTCGCAATGGAGACTGTGATCCAATGGCCCAAAGAAGATGGGGTCACCTTGTTGCCTATCAGGCAGGTTGAAAGGAGATGAATAAGGATTCTGTGTAGCCCCCCTTAAAAACCATCAGATCAAAGGATGGAGAGCCAGAGTCCACTCATTCACATGTCAAGACTGAAGACAGGGCCGCTACCTGCCTCCTGAGAGTATTAGAGGACAGGCCAATATCTAGTCCTTCCTGGAGAAAATCCAGGATTCGAGGAATGGAAGCCTCTGTTGGGACGAGCTCCTTACTTGAACACTAGCGGCAAAAGGCTCTCCAGGTGGCATCGTATATGCTGTTGGTCGAAGACCATCTTGATGCCTGGATCGTCCTGATGACCCTGGTGGACAGATTGTCTTTTCTCAGGACCCTCCGCTCAATCACTAGGCGGTCAACTGGAGCCACTGAGGGTCCAGGTGAACCAGAGACCTCTGGCTGAGCGAGATCCTCCAGACTGGAGTTACGGAAAGGTTTACCAGGTCTGCGAACCAAGGCTTTCTGGGCCAGTGAGGCGCCCAGGAGCAGGAGCTCCTCCTCCTCCAGCATCTTCCTGATGGTCCTCTGGATGAGTGGAAGAGGAGGGAAGGCATATAGTAGCCCTGGAGGCCACAGATAGCAGCGGACGTCCACCAACCCCCATCGGCTTTCTGATGTGTTAGGAGAAACCACTGGAGGCATCTGGTGTGAAGCCGAGCCTACGGGACAATGGAGAAGCAGGACACCATCTTTCCCAGCAATTGGGAGAGCTGAAGCAGTGGGACCCACCTTTCTCTTGTTACACGCTCTGCCACAGCCTGAAGACTGGATTGGCATTCCTGAGAGAGGTATACCATGAACTCTGTGGTGTCAATGACTGCTCCCAAGTGGAGGAGGTGATTCATTGGAATGAGGTGACTCTTGTCCTGGTTTATGGAAAACTCATGGTTCTGGAGAACCTGAAGAGTGATCTCCAGGTCGCTCTCTGCCTGATCGGGATTGGAGCAGATGTCGTCCAGATAGCATTGGATCCTGACTAGCATTGTGTGGAGATGTCATGCTAGCACTGCAAGCAGCTTGGTAAACACCCTGGGGGTCGATGAGAGGCCAAAGGGAAGGGCTTTGTAATGATAACGTTTCCCCGCATAGAAGAAGCAGAGGAACTCCCTGTGAGCGGGGAGGATGGGTACATACAGTTATGTCTCTGTGAGGTCCACCGAAGAGGAAGTTGCCTCTTCTGATGTCCTCCAAGATGGTCTGGAGTGAGTGCATCTTGAACTGCCGGTAGACAATGTGATGGTTCAGATGCTTGAGGTCTAGAATTGTCCATCAGCGCCCCCCCCCCCCAGGTCTTTGGGAAGATGAACAGGAAGGTCCCAAAACACGGGACACCTGATAAAAAACCTCAGGGGGATGGAGCGAAACTCCAGGGAGAGGCCAAATTTTACTGTCTCCCTGACCTAGGCATCCGTGATTATCTCCTCCCATTGGTTAGCAAAGAAAGTCAATTGTCCCCCAATGGGAAGGTTCGCTGGGCAGTCACTTCTGACGCCAAAAGGGGCAACCTCCCCCACCTCTGAAGGATCTCTTGGGTGGGAAGCACTGGCTGCTCCTACCTGCTCTGTCCTGCTGCTGACCCTGCCTGGGGGGGGGGGAGGATTGTCTCTGTGGAAGCTGAATCCCCCGTCCGACCCTTGAAGAGGTGAGCGTCGAAAATAGGGTAGAGGATGAGCCTCAGTATGCTTATAACGAGATAGCAAAATCTTGAATTTGTCCCTGGATTCAACCAGGAGGGTCTATAGGGAATTCCCAAAGAAGCAATGAAGCTCTGTTGAAGGAGGAGGCTACTGTGGAAGCTTTTACTGCCCAGACGGTGGCCTGGTGGCCTTTGACCAAGGTCTATTCTGTTCTTTTGTCCTCCGGACGGAAGGCCTCCTCAGGGGAACCCTGACAGAAGAAGCAGACAGGGCCGCCACAGGGGCATCGACTATGGGGATCTCTAGGGCCTTAGCTAAATCCAGGCCGATATTATAGAGCCATTTGTCCTGACTGTTTGGAAAGGGACCTGACTCCAGGGAAGTCCACTGTCGTGCACTATATCCAGGAATAACCTAGGAGATGGAACCACTTCCCTCTCTACAGCAGGCTCTGAGAAGAGAGAATCCATCTGGTCTGCTGACCCAGTTGCGGCCTCCTATCTAGATTAACTGGATCCCATATTGGCAGCCTTTCTTAAACAGGAGGGACTTGAATAGGGAGGGCTAGAAGAGGCCCACAAAGGCAGGTTGGTCAGGGATTAAGCCCTCGTCATCCGACAGGTCTGAGTCCCTGCGTGCTTCCTCCTCTCCTGACAGTGAAGCCTGACTGGGAGATACAGAAGGAAGGTGCTCTGGAGGGGCATGAACCTCTGAGATTCCCGGGCCTCCCCATGAACAAGCGACCTGAGCCTCAGAAGTAGCTCTGTGTTGCAATCCAGCAGCAATCCCTTGCCTAATGGCCTCAGAGATGATGGCTGCCATGTTGGGAGGAGGTATAGCATCTGCTATTTCCTGAGGTGGAGACCTGCCACATTAGGAGTGAAGGTGGCCTCTGCATTGAAGATCCTATGTCTGACTGGCTGCTCCCTGTTCGATGGAGATCTATGGTTTGGTGGAGAGTTAGATAAACTCCCACCTTCTTCCAGGTAATGGGAGACAGAAGGAGAAGGCAGCTCCTCCTCACTGTCCAGTGACATTGCTGCCTGCTGGGGGCTGTTGCAAGTGCAAGGTAGCTCTAATGGCTGCAATGTAAAGGGTGTGGGCTGCCCTGCCCTGTGGGCCGCTGATCGGCAGCCCTCCTAGCTGCTTTCTTTTGGGCCTTTGCAAATTTGTGGTCCAAGGCCCTTTGACACCAGCCTTCAGCCTGCTCCATGGCCTTAGAGGCCCTTCTGTAGTGCCCCTTAAACTGTGACTCAGGCAACTCTCTTTCTAGCAGGCCTTTCCTGAGGTACCTGCTGTCTCCTCTCCATGAGGGGAGGCAATCTGAGGGCTTTCAGTCATAATGGCTGAGTTCCCCAAAATAACAGCCGCCATGTTTAGTCACCTCATGTAAGCGCGCCCAACGGGATCTCACTCATGCTCCCCTTCTTCTAATTGACCCCCCAAACAGCTTGTAAAAAGGTGCTGTGTCTCTGCTCAGGGTCAAGGGCTATAAATGGCTCCATGCAGTGGTGAGTCTCTCACCTTCCTGAGCGCCGCTTCAAAATGGTGCCCACCACTCTGTCACTGCTTTAAAATGAAAGATAGCTATTAATTATCCTAGAATGGAAGAGAGGAGAAAAACATGTCTAGTTCCAAAATAGACTGAGTCTAAAAGCTGGGAGAAACTACCAGAGGAGGTGTGTCACCACAGCTTTCAGACTCAGTCCGATTGGATGACAGACGGAATAAACCCATTCCTGGATGCTATCTCCACCACTATGGAGAATATATTGTCATTTCTAAAGTAGATTTTTATAAAAAGGAAAGGTTAGAAGAATCGAAGTTTGGTTATACATATCTGTAACTTCTATTTAGATTATTATCAATATTCTTCTGCCTAGAGAAAAAAAATGCTAACACTTGTGTTCAAATCCAGAAAACATGAGAATATTCCCGTATCACCATATTTAATAATAGCCAACATCTTAATTTCTAAATGTATGAAATCTTACACATGCCCATATTATTTCATGTCCATATGTCATATAAGAATGTACAAGGCAGCACATGCAGATTTGGCTAGGACTTTTATGTGCTTAGCTTACTGTCACAGATTCTAACATAACATGTTATTCAGACTAGAAACTCTGATTCATAACAAATTCTAAACTGATAATTGCTTTTTAAATTTTACATGTTATATTACCCAAATTTTATTATAACTCACATTCTCTCCTCAGGGCAAAACAGATTCAAGGAACCTGGATTGAAAGAACTGCTAAAGGGAAAAGGAAAAGCCAAGAAGTGCCAAGTCTAAAGGTTCATTTGGTTTTGGCTTTGTTATAGTTTGCACTCAATTTTGTCCTGATCTTTCCTTTCCTTTNCACAATTGGTGGCTGACTAAATACTTTTTTGCCCCACTGTATACTAATATCCAGATGAGTGAAGAAATACATAAATAAATATAATGGTTATGAATCTATAAACCAGTCCAAACTAGTGGTGTACAAAAGAATCACTTGCAGCCAATATAAAATTACAACATCATACAGAAATTCAACATATAATTATGGTAAATGCTATAAAGATTGTAATATTTATGACACTACAAGTTCTATAGTACTTAAATTCCACATGCCTTCTAGAATAACCAGGCTTCATAAGTTTCTGGAAGGCCAGGAGAAATAAGAGCTATTTTTATCTCAGAGACAAGTGTTTCAGAGCAAACCAAACCCCAAAGAAAATAACTACTTCTGGCCATTTGAACAGGGATTCTCTATAGCACTTGACTGCATGCTACATTGGTAATCTTTTTTTAAAATTGCTTTTCAAGGTTGAGAGAAATTGAAATGGAAACTATTTGTTTGATCCATACCTCAGCCAGGACTTCAACTTTCTTTTTTAATATGCCAGAAATATAGCGGATGAGCCCCCATTCTTGGTTTACACCTGCTTTGCTGTACAGTTCGTTGAGGAGGCAATGAACTGTGATTCCAGACTGGCCATAGAGCTGTGTTTCCCAATCAAGACCTCTTTCAAAACAAAAAGTATCATGATGATTATATGTCCTTATTTATTTTTTTAAAAGGAAAGTGGGATATTGTAAGTCATGGAGGTCCAACATTTTGGTTTGGGTGGGCCATATTGAGTGAAAAGGAATTGTCTTGGGTCACATATAAAATATATAATATAGTTAAGGTATATAAATCACATGATAATGTTAAGTTTATGATCTTGTGAGGCTGCATGTAGTTAGTGGGCCACGGGTTGGACATGCCTATCATGGGCTGTATGTGTATCAGTCCTGATTAAATTGCCAGAAATAAGTAAAAATTCCAGTCTGAAATTCAACTCTCAAAAATATAATTTCAATACAAATATATACATGAAAACTTGAATAAAATTAGAAATTAATCACTATTTTTACATTTAACTTCCCAAAGTGCTTTTAAAAGTCCCCAAAAGCAATTCTTGATTTAAGACATTAAAAGTTCAATGAAGGTAACAGAATTACAGGTAGTCCTTGTTTACTGACTCAACTAGTTCTGGGAAAATGGATGCTAATCAACATGGCTGCTATGTGAATCCAGAGAGAGGGAGGGAGGGAGGAAGGTCTCTGTGCTATTCAAATAACGTTCTCTTGTACAGGTAGTCCTCAACTTACAACAGTTCATTTAGTGACTGAAGTTACAATGATACTGAAAATGTAACTTAGAACCATTTACACTTACAATCATTGCAGGTCCTCATGGTCATGTGACCAAAATTCAGACTGTTATTAACTGACTCATATTTATAATGGTTGCAATGTCCTGGGACCATGATCTCCTTTTGTGTCCTTTTGACAAGCAAAGTCAATGGGGAAGCCAGATTCACTTAGCAACTGTGTTACTAACTTCACAACTGCAATGATTCACTTAACAACTGTAGCAAGAATGATTGTAAAATGGGGCAAAATTCACTTAATAACTGTCTCACTTAGCAATAGAAATTGGCTCAATTGTGGCTGTTAAAACATGGGTTACCTGTGCCTGATCCATTTCTCTCCCCCCCTTTTTTGGCTCACAGGGTGGAGAAATTACTTAAATAAACTATATCTTCCTAAATTGTGTTGTTGTCCATTTGTCCGCCCCCCCACCCCTTGGTATTGCACCATGTCCCTAAAAAGTGCTAAGAGCAAATTAACAAGCTCATTCTGTAACCTTAATTAGTGCATTAGAATCTTCCCACCAGACCATACAATAGTTTCACACTGAAGGCTTCCGGTACTGTGAATGTACTTACTCATCAAAAAATGATTTTTATTACTATTTATCACCACAGTATCTGTAAACAGTTGCTATCCAAAGCAGTTGTTAAATAAGGACTATCTCTATGGTTTCAAAATTAAACAAGCACTTGTGCATTTTCTTTATTTTTGCTCAAAAGACTTTTGCATGAAGAGTTTTATGCCTTTTAAGGCATGCGTCAGATCCCTATTGTGATACTGCCATTTCTGTGGGAAGCGGGACCTGGGTCCATTTATTTGCTTATTGCCATCTTCCTGTTTCCTACATATCCTGTAACTCCTTAGTTTATAACCCTTGCCTTGGCACCTATTTGCCCTGTGCTTCCCTTTGGGGAATGTGTAAGGGGGGAGGACAATCTGTTTGTCTCCATTCTGAAGCCTCCTGAAAGAAGTGCCTGGGAACAGTTCCTTATGTCCTTCCCAGGACAGCATTTTTCACAACATCTTCGCACCTTTGGATTGGCTCATTCAACATCGAACTGAGGGGAGGGGTTTCTAACTCCTTTATCCTAACGGAATTGCCTAAGGGGAACTTAGACATGCTTTGCTTTTGTCTTGCAATCACTTTCTTTTCAATAAAAGTTTCCTTTTGAAATACTGAAGTTTCAAGAGTTTCTGCTTTCTTGAACAAAGAGGAGAGGCAGACCTTACATAAAGCAGGATCTGGAAAAGCAGTCAACCCAGAGAAATAAATTTGCTCTACCGAGGGGACCCTGCAAGTAATGTCCGAACAAAGCGGTGAGCAAGGAGAGGCTGAATGCTGGGGGGAGACCGCTATCACCACCCATCCAGATGCCAGCTCCATCTACCCCATCAAAGAGATCGAAGCTGTGTTGGAAGGCTCCACAAAGCCCAGGTGGTTGATCGGAGTGGGGAAGAAAGACAACTGGGATGGCAGAAACAGAGGAGTCACCCTCACCCACGGCAGCCAACAATTGGGCTGGAAACGTCAGCTGGAAGCCTTGTCAGACCAAGAAGAACTGACTGAGGAAGCAGATGGGAATGATCGACTCAAGAGACATGATAAAGCGTGCGTGCAGCGAACCGATAGTAACCGGTTCAGGAATCCACCCTTGATGTGATTGCAGGATACTGGAAATTGAGGTAAAGGTGAGCTGGCTGCCAAGCACCCAACAGGTGTTTATGTGATTATGGGTGTGTATACAGCCATTGTAACTCCGAAAACAGATCATAATAGCTCTGAAGAAGTCCATTGTAACTTTGTGAGGTAATCGGTCATAAGTCAAGGACATTGTTAACTGGACATTGCACTGTTAGATGGAAGTAAAATAAACAATATTAACAGGAATTTCAAGATTAGAATTTCAAGCAGGATACAAACAAATGGCAACCTCAAGTAAAAATTAGTACATCTGAATATTTAGTTTTCTGGAACATTATTTTCAAAAATAAATTAAGAACTGCCAACAGAACATAAAAGAAAACTTACTTTATTAGATATAAGATGTATAATATATCAGCCTGGTCATGTAAAGTAGGGCATTCTGTTAGCTGCCCAATTAATTTCTCACAATCCAAATCACCATGAGCATCTTTGGGCAAATGAAGAGCAGTCTTAGATTCCTATTAATCAAAACAAAGCACACAACATTTTTAAAGACTTTTCAGTTTACCTTAATTTTCCAAATAAAATAAAAAAATATTCACACACCCCAAAAGCACACAAAATGACAAAAGTCAAAAGGAAAACATATAAGGATACATGGTAGAACATTAGTCATGAGTACTTTCAAGACAGTGCAATATATAATAATAATAATAATAATAATAATAATAATAATAATAATAATAATAATAATAATAATA